TTCGTACTTTGCAATTATCTTTCTTCATTTCAATAGTCATTAGCACCTTTTTTCCTCGAAGGGTTGGCACTAGAAGCTTTCTTAAGGCCCATGGTTACTTATTTTGCAGAAACAAGCACCAAAAACAGTGATAATATGGATAATATGGAATGCACCGAATGTATCCTTAGATGCGCGCACACTGGCTGGCTTTTAACCCTTTCAGGGTCCAAGGCCAAAATCTGAAGTGGTGCTCCAGTGTCCAAGAATTTTCAAAAAAAAATTTTTTTTTATTTTTTCTTATGAAATGGTAGAGAATCTTTTTGTGAAGGTAATAAAACAAAAAGTACGAATTTTGATGGAAAATTGACGAAATTATGCTCTCGTGAATTTTGATGTGCCAGCGATATTTACGAATCGGCGATTTTGCCGACTTTGACTCCCATTTTAGGCCAATTACATTATTCCAGTCGACCAAATTCTTAGCTATTTCACTAGTATTACTTCTATTCTATCGATTGAGCACAAGAAATCGCCAAGTCAACCATTTCAACTACAAAATAAAGTGACCGGAAATTGGTAATTTGGCCAATTTAACACAAAGTTCAAAATATTCCAATTTCAAAACAGGGTCCAGAATAAACAATGTAGGTATTCCTGGCACTAAACTAACATTTCCGCTGTTCATTAGTTATGTTTTGAGGCTTTACAAATAAATTCCATTTTGAATTTTTATTCACATAATGAATTTTTATTCACACCAAAAAATAGAAGATTTACTGTTATGCAATATTGTAATAATTGTATAAATATCATCACCACATTTGTGAATGTATATTAGACCCACCAGCTGGCGTGTATAAGACGTGTGAGGTCGTTTGTTTACTCTTGAACATCGGCAAAAATTTAACATTTTCGCCACTTTGAGCTCAGTTTCAAGCCATTTCCAGTGCGAACACCAATCAAAATCATCTCTATTTCTGTGATATGTCTTCCATTCTATGAAATGAGACCAAGAAATCACAAATACAACTATAAAAAACATACGAAAAAACACTGCAAAGTCGCTGTTTTAATCGAAAATCACGGTCTCAGTTTTTTTTCTCTCATTATACACAGTGTGCTGCAGGATTTGTTTTATGTGGTGCACACATACCACATAGATGTATTCTCTCATATCTAGGCCCAAATTTACCACTCACAGTTTATCAGAGTGAGCTGAGCTCATGACGTAGATCTACGGTTTGGACCCTGAACGTAAAGCCGTAGATCTACGGGACGGACTCTGAAAGGGTTAAACACTGGCAGACATGCGGCAGTTCAGGCCACACGTGGACACGTCTCGTACAAATCGTATCGAATGTCGAGGCAAAATTTTTACGTTATAATGCATCGAATGTCGGATTTATCGAATGTCGATGCCATCGAATGTCGGGGGTCCACTGTACAAGATACAGTTAAAGTGCAGCAGCACTTGCAAGAGGAAAAATAAGAGAAAAATGAAAGAAGTATGAAGGAAGTTTGGGGTTAGCTGGAGTGTTCATCTGTGTTTACATTTTTAGCATCTCTTGTGGTAGCTTAAGAAATGATTGAACTCAATGAACAAGGTACGTCAATACTACTAATAATAATAAACCCCAATAATTTAAAAAAAAATATGTTTTTTCTTATGAAATGGTAGAGAATCTTTCTCTTAAGGTAATAAAACAAAAACTACGAAATTTGATGGTAAATTGACAAAATTACGCTATCATAAATTCTGATGCGTCAGCAATATTTACGCATAGGCGATTTTGCCCACTGACTCCTATTTCAGGCCAATTACATTATTCAAGTTGACCAAATTCTTAGTGATTTAACTAGTATCACTTCTATTTTATCGACAGAGCACAATAAACTGCCCAATCAACCATTTCAACTACCCAATAATGTTATCAGAAATTGGCAATTTGGCCAATTTCACATTTTTTTTTTTTTCAACAAGTCGGTCGTCTCCCACCGAGGCAGGGTGGCCCCAAAAAAGAAAGAAAATCCCCAAAAAGAAAATACTTTCATCATTCAACACTTTCACCACACTCACACATTATCACTGCTTTTGCAGAGGTGCCCAGAATACAACAGTTTAGAAGCATATACGTATAAAGATACACAACATATCCCTCCAAACTGCCAATATCCCAAACCACTCCTTTAAAGTGCAGGCATTGTACTTCCCATTTCCAGACTAAAACCGACTATATGAAAATAACCGGTTTCCTAAATCCCTTTCACTAAAAATTAAAAAAACCCCCTGTCACACTCCAACAGATCGTCAGTCCCAAGTATCATTCGTCTCCATTCACTCCTATCTAACATCTCATCACGCTTGCGGGAAGTCCAAGCCCCTCGCCCCAAAAACCCTCCTTTACCCCCTTTTTCCAACCCCTTTCGGACGACCCCTCCCCTCTTTCCCTTTCCCCCAATAATTTATATGCTTTCCATTCATTCTATTTTGATCCATTCTCCAAAATTTCCCAAAACCCACCCAACAACCCCTCTTCTGCCCTCACAATTTGCTTTATTAACTCCACACCTTTCTCCTAATTTCCACCCCTCCAATTTTCTGCAAAATTTTTTTACACCACACATTCCCCTTAGACGGGCCCATCTCCACTCCCCTCCAACCGTCCCTCGCTGCTGCATTTACCACCCAACTTCAAAAACCATAAAAGTGTTGGTACTAATACTTTCATACATTCCCTTCTTTCCCTCCATAGAAACGTTTTTTTGACTCCACATATCCCTCAACGCACCACTCCACCTTTTTCCCTCATCAATTCTATGTTTAACCTCATCCTTCATAAATCCATCCCCGAACAACTCAACCCCCAAAGTATCTGAAAACACCACTTCTTCCATACCCCCTCCTCCCCAATTTTTTTTTTTTTTTTTTTTATTATCAACCGGCCGATTCCCACCAAGGCGGGGTGGCCCAAAAAGAAAAATTCCCCATCATTCACCCTCCTGTCTTCCCAAAGGGGGCTTTACACTACTTTTTAAACTGAAAACAAAACACCCCCCCTTTTCCAGAGTGCAGGCACTGTACTTCCCACTCCGGGCTCAAGCCCGGGGCCTGCCGGGTTTCCCTAAACCCCCTCAAAAAATGTTACTTTGCTCACACTCCAACAGCACTCAAGTATTAAAAACCTTTTTTCCCCATTCACTCCTATAAAACACGCTCACGCATGCCTGCGGGAACCCCCCCCCGCACAAAAACCTCTTTACCCTCAACCTTCACCACCCCTCACCATTATCACTGCTTTTGCAGAGGTGCCAGAATACACAGTTTAGACAGCTATATGTAAAAGATACACATATCCCTCCAAACTGCCAATATCTCCACCAGTCCTTTAAGTGCAGGCATTGTAACATTCCCATTTCCAGACTCAGTCCGACTATATGAAAAACGTTTCCCTGAATCCCTTCACTAAATATCCCCTGTCACACTCCAACGATCGTACAGGTCCTAGTATCATTCTCTCCATTCACACCTATCTAACATGCTCATGCACGCTTGCGGAAGTCAGCCCCTCGCCACAAAACCTCCTTTACCCCCTCTTTCCAACCCTTTCGAGGACGAACATTCACTACCCCTCTTTCTTCCCCTATAGATTTATATGCTTTCCATGTCATCTACTGATCCATTCTCTCTAAATGACCAAACCACTCAACAACCCCTCTTCTGCCTCCTGACTAGATCCTTTTATTACTCCACCACCTTCTCCTAATTTCCTCACTCAATTTTCTCATAATATTTACACCACACATTGCCCTTAGACCAGGACATCTCCACTGCACTCCAACTCTCCACTGCTGCATTTACCACCCAAGCTTCACATCTATAAGATCGTTCCGGTACTACTATACTTTCATACATCCTTCATTTGCCCATAGATAACGTTTTTGACTCCACATATACCTCATACACCTCTCACCTTTTTTCCCTATCAATTCTAGATTAACCTCATCCTTCTATCATCCGCGACACTCAACTCCCAAGTTCTGAACCACTCACTTCTCCATACTCCTCCTCCCAATTTGATATCATTTTTCTTATCTAAATCATTTGATACCCTCATCACCTTACTCTTCTCTATGTTCACTTTCAACTTTCTACCTTTACACACATTCTCAAACTCATCCACTAACCTTTGCAATTTTTCTTTAGAATCTCCCATAAGCACAGTATCATCAGCAAAAAGTAACTGTGTCACTTCCCATTTTGTATTTAATTCCCGTAATTTAATCCCACCCCTCTCCCGAACACTCCAGCATTTACTACTTTTACAACCCCATCTATAAATACATTAAACAACCAAGGTGACATTACACATCCCTGTCTAAGACCTACTTTTACCGAGAAATAGTCTCCCTCTCTTCTACACACCCTAACCTGAGCCTCACTATCCTCATAAAAACTCTTTACAGCATTTAATAACTTACCACCTATTCCATATACTTGCAACATCTGCCACATTGCTTCCCTATCCACTCTATCATATGCCTTTTCTAAATCCATAAATGCAATAAAAACTTCCCTACCTTGAAATTTTGAAAAGTTTCCAGACGTAATGGAGAGCTGCAGAGCTCATGGAGAATGTAAACAATCCAGGTGGGGCGCAGTGACCGTATTAGAAAGTCAGGTGGGGAGAGCCGTATAGCGAGATTTGCTCATAGTTTGAAATGTTAGTACAGCTGAACGCTGTAAAACGAGGTCCTACTCTACTTTAAAACTGCTATATAAAATAAAAGTAATTATTCTTTTAACAAATAAAGAATACAAGAAAGGCTTAAATAAAATGAGATGGGGTAAGGTTAGGGAAGGTATAGTAGATATGACAAGACATTACATAACATGGGGCACTGGAGATAAAACTTAAAAGATGAAAATGATAAAGAGAGGCAAGTATTGCTGTGTGATTTTGGTGAAGTATATGTATCCTATGCTTCAATTAATTTAGCTTAAAAAATATTAAACTTACTTCACATCCTGGACCCGGTGGTGGGCCTTCCCAATGAGGTGGTGGGCCCCCATATTTCCTCTGTCCCGTTGTAACATCTAGTGTATACCCTGAGCGGTCCAGAATAGCTTTCAAATTCTCTTCATTTGGTCCTTTACCAGGATTGACAGCCATGCTGTCTGCTGTAATAGAAGTGTACAGTTAACTAAAAATTATACTACAGCAACACTGTCTCTTCTGAATTTTATGATTATCTGAAAATCTGATTATCTGAAGATCCTACTAATTACAGTAGGGCCCCACTTATATGGCGGGTTAGGTTCCGGGCTGTCGCCAGAAACCACACATCGTCAGAAGACAGAACGCCATTTTTTCCATTTATAAATGCATATAAATGCCAGACAACAAGTTTACACTAAATTATATAAAGTTAGTAATAGAACTAGGCATTAATAACACACAGTAAAATACATTCACAGTACATTCATTACTTATCTTTAACTATCTGTAATCTTAATGTAGGGAGAAGTACTTATTTGTAGGAAGTCAGGTGTAGGTAGCCCTGGCTCCCCGTCTCATATTTAATATCTTTCTTCTTCTTTCAACGTACCAGCCGTATCCCACCAAGGTGGGGTGGCCCAAAAGGAAAAACGAAAGTTTCTCCTTTCAAATTTAGTAATATATACAGGAGAAGGGGTTACTAGCCCCTTGCTCCCGGCATTTCAGTCGCCTCTTACGACACACATGGCTTATGGAGGAAGAATTCTGTTCCACTTCCCCATGGAGATAAGAGGAAATAAACAAGAACAAGAACTAGAAAGAAAATAGCAGAAAACCTAGAGGGGTGTGTATATATATGCTTGTACATGTATGTGTAGTGTGACCTAAGTGTAATATACGATATTTAAAACATCCCAGAGAGTTAAAATACACATACAGTACACTCACTATTTACCTTAAAATATTTGTAGTCTTAATATATGAAGAGAGGCAAGTAGTATTTATTTGTAGTAAGTCAGCGTAGGTAGCCGGTAGGTGTAGCCTGCGCTACACCTACCGGCTACCTACACTGTGGCCCAGAGCCATATTATTAACATCGACATACCTTGTTCACTGAATTTAATCATTTCTAACAACTACCTTTAGGTTCCATCATAAACAAAGGGAGAAGTAATGAATAATTCATGCCGAAAATTGTAAACAAAAGCGGAGTGGGGGAGTGACCTGGCCAAACGCAGATTCACACACGTTTTCTCTGGTGACTGAGCAAAGAAAACGTAATGTTGTCCCTCCACCCGGCTACCACACAGGTCCACAAGTATTATTATCAGAGACATATAAAATATGCAATAAATGCCAGACAACAAGTTCACAACAACTTATATTAAGTCAGCAACAGAAACAGGCATTAAAAACACAAAAAATGGTAAGATACACACAGAGTACACTTATTACTTACCTTAAAATATTAATATTAATGTGTGAGAGGTGAGTGGCAGGGTGTTTATTGAATAAAATCAGAATGGCACACCATCATCCTCTAACTTGGCACTTAAAGCAAGAGGCTTACGACTCCTCTTTTTATCACAGCTAAACTTAGACGCCACTGTCAATGAGAGCCAACAAGTTAACAAAAGAGTAAATGAGAGAGAGAACGACATAAAGAGTTCAGACAATGTAAGAATACAAACTGAACAGGTAGTGGGCGATCACTTGGTCAGGCGAAATAAATGCGTATTAACATGTGTCTACTTTTAGTTCATTCACGTATGTTTGTAAGAGTTTGTAAAACATTTACAGTGGACCCTCGACCAACGATGGCATCGATTAACGATAAATCCGACCAGCAATACATTTTAACGCAAAAATTTTGCCTCGACTAGCGCTAAAAAACTCGACCAACACTATTTGTTCCATCTGAGACGCGTCCACTTCTGGCCAGTGTTTACAAGCCAGCTAGCCACCGCGGTAACATCCAAGCATACAATGGGAACATTCATGTTATCACAGACTTTTTAGTGATTGCACCTGCAAAATAAGTCACCATGGGCCCCAAGAAAGCTTCTAGTGCCAACCCTACAGCAAAAAGGTTGAGAATTACTATGGATATGAAGAAAGAGATCATTGCTAAGTATGAAAGTGGAGTGCGTGTCTCCGAGCTGGCCAGGTTGTACACAAAACCCCAATCAACCATAGCTACTATTGTGGCCAAGAAAACGGCAATCAAGGAAGCTGTTCTTGCCAAAGGTGCAACTATGTTTTCGAAACTGAGATCGCAAGTGATAGAAGATGTTGAGAGACTGTTATTGGTGTGGATAAACGAAAAACAGATAGCATCTCTCAAGCGATCATATGTGAAAAGGCTAGGAAGTTGCATGAGGATTTAATTAGAAAAATGCCAGCAACTAGTGGTGATGTGAGTGAATTTAAGGCCAGCAAAGGTTGGTTTGAGAGATTTAAGAATCGTAGTGGCATACATAGTGTGATAAGGCATGGCGAGGCTGCCAGTTTGGACCAAAAAGCAGCTGAATTTTTTTTTTTTATCATCATCACACTGGCCGATTCCCACCAATGCAGGGTGGCCCGAAAAAGAAAAACTTTCACCATCATTCACTCCATCACTGTCTTGCCAGAAGGGTGCTTTACACTACAGTTTTTAAACTGCAACATTAACACCCCTCCTTCAGAGTGCAGGCACTGTACTTCCCATCTCCATGACTCAAGTCCGGCCTGCCGGTTTCCCTGAACCCCTTCATAAATGTTACTTTGCTCACACTCCAACAGCACGTCAAGTATTAAAAACCATTTGTCTCCATTCACTCCTATCAAACACGCTCACGCATGCCTGCTGGAAGTCCAAGCCTCTCACACACAAAACCTCCTTTACCCCCTCCCTCCAACCTTTCCTAGGCCGACCCCTACCCCGCCTTCCTTCCACTACAGACTGATACACTCTTGAAGTCACTCTGTTTCGCTCCATTCTCTCTACATGTCCGAACCACCTCAACAACCCTTCTTCAGCCCTCTGGACAAGTTTTGGTAATCCCGCACCTCCTCCTAACTTCCAAACTACGAATTCTCTGCATTATATATTCACACCACACATTGCCCTCAGACATGACATCTCCACTGCCTCCAGCCTTCTCCTCGCTGCAACATTCATCACCCATGCTTCACACCCATATAAGAGTGCTGGTAAAACTATACTCTCATACATTCCCCTCTTTGCCTCCAAGGACAAAGTTCTTTGTCTCCACAGACTCCTAAGTGCACCACTCACCCTTTTCCCCTCATCAATTCTATGATTCACCTCATCTTTCATAGACCCATCCGCTGACACGTCCACTCCCAAATATCTGAATACAGTGGACCCCCGGTTAACGATATTTTTTCACTCCAGAAGTATGTTCAGGTGCCAGTACTGACCGAATTTGTTCCCATAAGAAATATTGTGAAGTAGATTAGTCCATTTCAGACCCCCAAACATACACGTACAAATGCACTTACATAAATACACTTACATAATTGGTCGCATTCGGAGGTAATCGTTATGGGGGGGTCCACTGTACATTCACCTCCTCCATACTCTCTGATATCCAATCTTTCATCACCTAATCTTTTTGTTATCCTCATAACCTTACTCTTTCCTGTATTCACTTTTAATTTTCTTCTTTTGCACACCCTACCAAAGTCATCCACCAATCTCTGCAACTTCTCTTCAGAATCTCCCAAGAGCACAGTGTCATCAGCAAAGAGCAACTGTGACAACTCCCACTTTATGTGTGATTCTTTATCTTTTAACTCCACGCCTCTTGCCAAGACCCTCGCATTTACTTCTCTTACAACCCCATCTATAAATATATTAAACAACCACGGTGACATCACACATCCTTGTCTAAGGCCTACTTTTACTGGGAAATAATTTCCCTCTTTCCTACATACTCTAACTTGAGCCTCACTATCCTCGTAAAAACTCTTCACTGCTTTCAGTAACCTACCTCCTACACCATACACCTGCAACATCTGCCACATTGCCCCCCTATCCACCCTGTCATACGCCTTTTCCAAATCTATAAATGCCACAAAGACCTCTTTAGCCTTATCTAAATACTGTTCACTTATTTTGTTTTTTTTTTCATTATTATAATAATTACCTCACAATACAAATACTTTTACATTGTGTACAAGTTGTACAAGTTAGTACAGAATAAACAAACAGCAACACACCATTTTTAGAGTGAATGAAGATATATTATTATTATTATTATCATCATCATCAAAATAAAAAGCACTAACCCACAAGGGTCCTGAATTGCTATACATAGAGTGAAGGCATAGGAAAAGAATATTTTTCTACAGTTATCCTCCAGTTTGACTAGAGAAAACATAATTCCTCCGACACTAGCTACACAGCTGCTTTGTAAACAAATCTCATATTTACATCAATTTTTATTTGGTGAGTGTATGTATCATGTTTATATGCTATGTAAGGGGTTTCATATATAATTTTGAGAAAAATATCATAGATGGATTAATGAAAATGTCTATATTAATGCAAAATAAGACATTTAATGTGCAGAAGAGTGATTATTATTACGTAGTATTGGCGCCATGAGTAGAGAGACTTAGCAATTTTAATGTGTACCTGCACACCAGCACAGTGTGTAAGTATATTTAGGTACAGGTACACATAAGTACAGTGGACCCCAGACATTCCATGGCATCGACATTCGATAAATCTGACATTCGATGCATTTTAACGCAAAAATTTCGCCTCAACATTCGATGGAAAGCCTGACATTCGATACAATTCGTACGAGATATGTCCACGTTTGGCCTGAACTGCCCCGTGTGTGCCAGTGTGCGCGCATCTAAGGACACATTCGGTGCATTCCATATTATCACTGTTTTTGGTGCTTGTTTCTGCAAAATAAGTAACCATGGACCCCAAGAAAGCTTCTAGTGCCAACCCTTCGAGAAAAAAGGTGCTAATGACTATTGAAATGAAGAAAGAGATAATTGCAAAGTACGAAAGTGGAGTGCGTGTATCGGAGTGCATAAGTGCATGATGATTTGGTAAAGAAACTGCCTGCAACTAGTGGTGATGTGAGTGAATTTAAGGCCAGCAAAGGTTGGTCTGAAAGATATAAGAATCGTATTGGCATACAGTGTGGTAAGGCAT